AAATAACCTAAAACCAAAACCAGGCAAAGACCCCACCAAAAAAAAAAAAAAAAGATTAATTTCTCTTAAATTTGAGGGAGTGTTTGTCTACACATATGATCCAAGTAAACTAGATTTTGAACTGCAATCTAAGTATACTTTGAAGGTTTTAGGTAACAGAATTGCCTGAAAATAAAAGCTTCATTTTATTGTGTTAGTTATAATAATTACATGTATAAAATCATATGAGTTAAAAATGTTTTACTCTTACTTTTAAAATTTACTGCTAACTAAGAAGAAAAGAAGTTTCTTCCCATCTCTTTTAAGATTTTCTTTATTATTTAGAGAGTCCATGTTTGCCTCACTGCAGGTCATCCAACGTCTTGGGTTATGGCTGTCCATGCAAGTGTGTGCACATCTGTAAGCACATGCACATATACATAGATTACAATATTCATTTATAATGTATATAATCACTTCTAAATTCCAAGCTCCTGTATATGGGTAGCAGCAAATATCTCAAATATGCTTTTTATCTGTAGTTATCTCAAAAACAGTCAATATATGGAGAGATCACTACTGTGCCTCCATGTCCATTTTTTTTGTTGTTCAAACTGCCAAAAGTTTCAAGTGTGTAATATTACAAGTGATAAAACATTCAATCATGATAAACACAAACTATGGTAATATGGATTATAACTCACATTTTAATCTTAATGCTTTACTCATCTAAATTCAAATTATGGTTGAATTAATCACAAGGCAGCATCCTAAATCTAGAACTTATTTTTCATATTAGCTTATTTGACTTAAATGCTTATTGCATTTCAGGTTCAAAAAACTCACACAAACTATTGTTTTTGACTAGTGATATAATACTGACCTTAAAAATCTCAAGCCTTTGCTGCCACATATTTTTGTTTTCTCAACATTTAAATGAAAATGTGTTCAGAATGTAGAACAGAATAACACTACAAGAACTAAGAATTTCCCTTTTGGCTAAAAACGATACTATGCTTTCTATATAGCCAATAACCTTACTGTGTCTGACACTGTTGTTTGATATCTTATTGTATGTGTATGTGATAAATATGAGGATAGTGTATTGAATGAATTAACTATTATTAACATAAGGCTGATCAAAACTTTATGGGAGTTAAGGGGTCTGTCTTATGCTATTTTCTGCCCCTTATTTTCATAGCTGGTTCCTTGATTATTGACTGACAAGAAGTCTTCCTTCCACTGCTTTTTTACTCAATGTAAAACTGAAAATCCTGGATTAGAACAGCTATAAAATCACAGGCTATTACAAAGTATTCAATAACAACAAGATACTTATTCATTGTTTTGTATGTTAGACAGACTATCTCCTAAATCTGGGCTGTTTCCTCCCAGGCAGCTTTGGCCTCGCTTTTTGGTCATTCTCACTTTCTCTATATTTTCTGAGAACTTTCCCATTAACCAGTTGCCACGATAGCACAAAATACAAACTCTTCCTACTGACGACAGGATAAGTGATTCGCCCAGAAGAGTCTGAGAAATATGAGATGCACTTCAAAGTATATTATCTGGGCTTCCAGATGCAACACTAGCCTTTGTATTCCCATTTTACACAAATGAAGTATTTTACTTTTGTAAATAAATTTTTTAAAAAGTAGTGGTTAAAAAGGTGAAGACAAGTTTAATCACCTCTCAAAGTATAGGATCTAATACAGGTTCAAGATTTATCATAAATGAACTCATATACAGTCAAGCAAACAAAACATAAAATTACAGATTGAATTCCTGTAAAAATTTTGCAAATATCAAAGCATCATTACTCCCACTAGGAAAAAATGTTTTGTTACAAAGAAATAGAATGACTGAAAGTTCTATCTAGATAAATTAGTGGATGCAGGGTAATCAGACTCTCCTGTCAATGATAGACTGCCTAAGTCACACGATTTGTCTAGAGAAGGTAGTATATACCCTGTTAGGCTGGAGGAAGGAAAAACAAGGACATGCAAACAGAACAGAGAGATGCCATAGGGGGAGAACAGACCAGACCCCAAGGTCCGTACCTTATATGGAAAGGGGACAGCTCTTCCTGAATTCCATCCTTCTGATGTGCCAACTAAGACCCGGATGTCAACCTCCTCCCTCTTGGAAGGAAAAAAAGTTTCTAGTTGTCTATTATGTCACCTTTAGCCAATCATACCTCTAGGTATAGCTTGCCCTAGGATAGCTTGCCCACTCCTCCCTCTCCAAATCCCTTATAAGCCCCCACCTCCCTGACCGGGTGTGACTTCCCTGGCCTGTAATACCCAGACCGTGGAACATCACCCGGGAGTGGCATTCAAATAAACTACCTGGCCCTTTGTTGCCTCTCTTTGCCTGCTTATTTCAGCTAAAATTTATCTTACATTTGGTGCCGAAATCCAGGAAGGACAATGAGTGTGGGGCCCCGACCAGCCACCAGTGGCCCCGCCCTCTCCTTCCCCGACCCAGTACCTCAGCCTGCTCTCCGCTGCATGGACTATTTTCTGGTGAGTCCCTCAGTTTCCCCCAGTCTGTTTCCTTCCCTAATGCCATTTCACCTGGTCCGTTAGAAATCGTAGCTACGTCCAGGTGGGGCATCCTGCCCACCCTCTGCAGGCATCTGGCCTGCCCCTGGCCCTGCGGTATGGGAGACATCCCTACCCTAGGCCCCAGGACGTCTGCACGCATCCGGCCTGCCCCTGGCCCTGCGGTATGGGAGATGTCCCTATCCCAGGCCCCAGGATGTCTACAGGCATCCGGCCCGCCCCTGGCCCTGTGGTGGGGGAGACGTCCCTCACCCAGGCTCCCAGGACGTCTCCCCTGACTTGGCACACTTGGGACGCTGGGTGCTCCTCTCAGCGGGATTAGTTGAGAAGTGGCGCAGACATGGGGAACCAGCCCTCAAAAGCAGAGGCTCAGACCCCACTGTGGTGTCTCATTTCTAATTTGGCTACTCTATATTTGTCCTGGGAAGTTCACAAATAGAAGCTAGTCTTTCTTTGCTCTGAGGCCAGGCCTCAGTATCCCTTGGACAATCAATCTCGCTGGCGCCCTGAGGGAACTTTCAATTTTAGCCTCCTCACCACCTTGATTAATTATTGCCACTGGAGTAGAGAGTAGAGTGAAATCCCATATGTGCAGGCTTTTTGGACTTTGCACTCCTGTCCAGACCTTTATGTTAAGTGTTCAATGACTCAGGTTCTCCTGGCCCGATCTCCAGTTAAAGATTGTCAGCCTCTTACTCTGCCCAGTCCTTCCTTTTCAGATCCTCCAGAAGACCTCAGTCGCCCACCTCCCTCAGTTCGCTATCCCCCCCCCCATCTTTAAGTCCTTTGTCTTCACACGTGTCGCTGCCATCTTAAAGTCCTACATTCTCAACCATGCCATTGTCCTGCTCTCCTCTTCCGGTGGCTGCACCACCCTCTCCCCCTCTCCTTCCACATTCCTTGCCCTCTTCCCCCACCAGAACACGCTCCTCCCGCCCTCTGGTTCCAGAAGCCATGGACTAGACGCTAAAGAGAGAGAAGGCAATTAGATATCAGTGACTCAAGTCTTTATATCGGTTTGTCTGTCTGTGTATATGTTTTTGTGGGAGGGGTGCTGCTGACTGTAGTTGTTGTATCTCAGTTTATACGTTTGTGTCTAAGTGTATAGATGAAAAACATTTTATTTAAAAACAAGTGCTCGTGAAAACTGGGCATTCTAAAACTTCCAGAAAATCTGATAAAAAATGTTAAGCATTAATGCTAATTTAGGTTTGGCTGAGGCATGTCCTTGTTAGCTTAGCTGCCTAAGTTTACCTAAGGTCATTTAAGTCATGTTATCTGCTAAATCTTTTAAGAATAAAATGCTTAAAGGCTTGGCTCTGTCTAATATTCAGTAAAGGTCTTGTAAGTAATCTAGCATAGTTGTTACGAATGAATGAGTGAACTAAATAAGTGTGGCAAGTGAACACCTTTTAATTGTGTGTTACAGTGTGTATACCTATCTACAGCCTAGAAATCTTTGTAGTAACCTAAAACCTTAAAGTTTTGCTAAGTTAAAAAGATACTTTGTGCTTAGTGAGAGATTGGGTTGTAAACCTCATAGTTAACAGAAATTATAAAATGTTCATAAATTTGTCAATCTAAAGAATGCTAGTGTAACAGTTTACAATAGCCTGCTTCTCAGTGTTCACTAAAAATTAAGGTACCTAATGGTTTTAAGTTCTAATTAAAACTACTTAAAGTAATAAGGAAAACATTTCTGCATACTAAAGAATGTGTCTTTTAATAAAAGAAAGTAACTTTGTTCTAAAGTACAGCTGTTTATTTAGAGGGAGAAATCTAAATGTAAAAAGGTTGTAGAAAGTTTGTGAAGAATTTAATATGGTCATGCTATATAAAATTAAAGCAAATGAGTCTCGGTATCAAGTACACAGCAAAATTAGAATTTTGTTTTCAGTTAAAAAGACAGTTTTCTTAACTGTTAGTCTGCTCCTAATATTGAAAAATTGTAAAAAGTTCTCTAATTGTTTTATCAAAGCAGTTTCTTATGCTGAAAGTCTCAATGAGTTGTCGGAGTATTTAAGAAAATAAGATCTTAATATTAAAAAGACTAAAAGCTAAAGTTTACCAACAACTGTGTAACCTTCTTTATTTGCCTTTAAGGTATTTTGTTGTCATTCTAATTAAGTAGATAAGTATTGCTTCATGGCAACCTATAATCCTATTTAAGCAAGTGCCAAAGAAACTTTCTTCTGACAACTTCCCAAAATCAAATTCAAAAAGGTGCTTTTACCTCTAGTTAACTCTGACATTTTCCAGAGGGCCCCTAGAACATGTCAGAGGAGAACTTTTTCTCATTGGAGAAAGTATTTGGCTAATTTAACTTATTTATCTGATATATAATTACCTGCTTAATTACCTAGAAAACACTGTCAAAAAGAATAATGCTAAACTTTGTTACTGAATGTTTTGTCAACAGAAATATCAGAATTTTCTTATATCAACTGTCTTACAGTAAGCTCTCATCAGATCTTTAACCACTGTCATTTGTAAGTCTTTTATTATTTATAGTCACTGTTTTATTACTCTTAAGCTAGTAAAGAACTAGATTTCAGCAGAACAAGTATTAGTTACATAAGATTAAGTAAACTAAAGAAGATTTTGTAGCTTTTTGTTTCAAATGTTGCTGATAAAGTGTTTTAAGCTTTTTCTCTTAATCTGACAACAGTTTAGTAAATGACTGCCTTTATAAGCAGAATTGAAACTTTATCTTTCTCTCTACCTGATCCCTCCAGAATTTAAAAACTCTCAGTGACTATTTTTATATTTCATGGCAGTATATTTACTTGCACAAGTTCAGTAAGAATCTGCTTTCCTTGTAAGAGGAGCAATTAAAAACACTGGTTATATTACCAAGGCTTTGACTGGAACGTCATACCTGAGAGACACGTGTGTAAACTCAGATATGAACAGATAGCTTTAAGGAATAGGTTGACTTTATAAAGCCAACAAAGTCCCTTAGAAGAACCTACCTGGTACCTTGCTTACAGAGTTCCCAGCAGCCTTACCAGGTGAGTAAAGAAGGTCACTTCCTGGCAGGTGAAGGAACCTCAGGAATGTCTTAGGAACCTCAAGAAGATAGAAATTCACCCAAATCTACAGGTACTGCAGGCACAACCTGATGGCAAGTCTGGGTTGGCTTTCTGGCCTCAAGAAGCCCTTAAAAGTCCAATCTGAAATTCCTTATAAAAAGTTCCAGCAAAGCATATTTAAAAGAGCCTATGTAATCAATTGCTCTTCTTGCTGCACTTATGCAAATAATCAAGCCAACTATTAATTATTTTCTTAATCTGGCTACTTCTAATAAAAATAAGGGTGGTTTTAGAGAAAAGCATTGTTTCAAAAATGCAGTCTTACCTATACTAAATCTTAATACTAGTCATTGAGATATAAACTCAATCCAGAATTCCAGTTCCCCATAATGGCCTGGCTAATGCCCCTACTAGGCCCCTTAATAACAGTTTGTGGTTTACTCTTAGTTGCCCCTTGTGTCCTCAGGTTCTTCCAACAGCAGCTAACCCAGATGACCCGGGTCGCCACCAACCAAATGTTACTTCACCGTTACACACCTCTTCCCACTAAACCCCCTCCTTCAGCCTAATACCAGCCTCAAACCCCCACGACGCCCCTTGTCAGCCAGAAGTAGCCTGATGGAGTCATCGCCCATTATGACCAAAAGGCTGGAATGTTAGGCTGGAGGAAGAAAAAACAAGGACATGCAAACAGAACAGAGAGGTGCCATAGGGAGAGAACAGACCAGACCCCAAGGTCCATGTCTTATATGGAAAGGGGACAGCTCTTCCTGAATTCCATCCTTCTGATGTGCCAACTAAGACCTGGATGTCATAAGGAATATAGTCAAAATATTGTAACAACTTTGTATGGTGATAGCTGGTAGCTAGAATTATCATGTATATAAATGTTGAATCACTGTGTTGTACACCTGAAACTAATGTAATACTGTGTGTCAACTACCCTTCAATTAAAAAAAAAAAAAAAGACCTGGATGTCAGCCTCCTCCCTCTTGGAAGGAAAAAAAGTTTCTAGTTGTCTATTATGTCACTTTTAGCCAATCATATCTCTCCACACCCCCTAGGCTAGCTTGCCCACTCCTCCCCCTCCTAATCCCTTATAAGCCCCCACCTCCCTGACCTGGTGTGACTTTCCCAGCCTGTAATACCCAGACCACAGAACATCACCGGGGAGTGGCATTCAAATATAACTACCTGGCCCTTTGTTGCCTCTCTTTGCCTGCTTATTTCGGCTAAAATTTATCTTACATACCCCTTTCTCTCTCTCCTTTCTTCAGGAGCTTTATTCCTGGAGCTACACTCTCACTTGAAAGGAAGACTTTTCTTACTCTGGCTAAGGGTACTCTAAAGTTTATTTCCAATTGCAGAACTCATAAATTTATTGATCTAGTTTCTGATGGCTAAGTTTATTTAAAAGTACATGTTTTGGGCCTATATCCCAGAAAATAAGTAGAGATAACTTATTTTAGTGTCCGTTAGACTGAAGAAAAATGTAGCAGAAGACTGAAGATATCAGGAAGGAGCAAAAATGAACTGGTAAATACCTCACTTGGTAACAGAAATGACTGTGACAATGCCTTCCTTTTTGATCTTGAGGACAGAATTTTTCCTTGTTACTCTGAATGGCCTAAGTGACTCCTGGCTAAAGAAAGGAAAATGGCTTAGATTCTCAAATAACAACGTTTAGACAGTTTATAAACACTATGAATATATTACCCTCTTAGCATTTGCTTGATCAAAGCCCCAGTCAAAATATTTGTGTTTCCACACCTAAAATAAATAGATACCAACATATATAATCAGGTATTAATTATTTAATGTACACTTAGCATTATTTACTAGTATGTTGAAAAAAGTTTTCAGTTGATTTCAGTTTCTGATGCGAAGTTTACTTTTGCATAGAAAAGAATTACTGAATAAACATTCCTTAAAGCAAATTAATAATTCATGCTAATTTACATATAAAGTAGTTTCCTTATTTATCAACTTCCTTACTTGACACTTGCAGTAAGGTTTCTTGAGTCAAAGACGAGTAAACAAATATTAGTGTCAACAGCAAGCTAATGGTGGCACTGAGATGAGAAGGTATGTTATTTTGTGATAATTCTGCATTGGATATTTGAAGAGCATCTGGTAATTGATGTTTCATCTGAGTTTGGGGCCATTAAATAATTCTGAGTGGGTCTATCAATATTACCAAAAGCAAACAATTTAGTCATCATATAACTATGGAATCAGTTTGAGAAAATCATAAAATTCCTGGGCAATTCAGGAAAAAAAAAATCCATGTTTTTAATCCTCAGATTATCCACATAGAATCTCCAAGTTTATCAAGTAGTTATTTTTAAATATTTTAATACATAAAGGCATCTTCTGCTTTGTTGAACCTTTTAACTGTGCACAGAATAGCAATAGTATTTAAACATAAGGGGTTCTGGTTTCTGGCCCAGATATCTATAAATAGATCTCATAAATTCTTAACAAGTTTAGGCCAGTACAAAAGTTGATCCTGAAAACCAAGATACGGACTACTGATTTTTTTCTACATATATGCACAAACACACATCTCTATATCCTGTGAAGTGAATGCTATCTTGCATTCTTCCTTACTTGCATAAGTCAGTCTAACTTGTGTGTACTCTTGCTAAAGAATTATTTTAATTTGGGCAAATTAGGGGATCGTTAATCCTAGCTAAGTAAGTGTTCCTTCCTAATGTAAGATCCTGAGCCAACATAGGGATTTGGGTCAATTCAAGAAACATTTAGAGAGAGCATATTCTCTGGCACTGTGTCACAACTATTGGGTTCAGATCCAATTTAAGACATGTGGGGCTGACTAAGATCAGAACCAAGTAAGAACTCCAAGACTGATACTAATATGGATTCAAATTCTCAGTGTCTTTCTAGCAGACAACACAGGTATAAATTGGAATAGATTCTCCCATGACTGATCTGATCTAGAATTATACCTTACGGGGTAGAAAGGGCAAGGATATTCACCTGGCCATTTTCTGCAGGGATTTTAGGTAATACTTACCAATCTAATAGGTAAAGGCAAGGAACAGAGGAGGTTAGTGTACAAAGTCCAAAGGAAATATAATATCAGAATTGATCTAGAATGTAGCTATATTGCAATCAAGCTTATTGTTCCTTTAGAATGCGGCAATCCTATACAAAGAAAGTAGTATCAGCCTTCGAGATAGTATGGATTAATGAGGGGCTTATAAAGAGTAATAAATAACAGACTGCAAAGGAAACCAACATTTTGACTAACATGGGCCCTACAACCTCAGTAGTGAATTGTCACATGCTATGTTCTACACAACTCCATTTTCTCAAATTTAACTTTGACTGGAGAACATAGCAAACTAAAAGATTAACCAAAGATATAGTGAACTATTGCACTAATGATTTAATAACATGGGTAACTGTTGAACAATTGTGTTGTATACTTGAAACCAATACAAGATGATACTTCAATAAAAAAATAGACATTTTTAAAGATTTGTAATAAATCAAAAGGACAGCCTGCAAACAATTAAAACATAGTAAATCCATTATTTAAAATAACTAGAAAACTACTCAACATACTAGGTAGAACCAAGCAGTTTCTAAAAAATATCAGGTATTTTCGAATCTCTATTTTCTCAAACGCTAGTTTATTTATTTGAACCACTCTATTTAAATGACTACTTTAAAAACATGATAAATTTACCCTCTTAAGTTTTCAATTTAAGGCTTTATTTTTGGAGCAGTGGTTCATAAACCAAGTTTTACAAATGTTTAATATTTGAAGTCCAGTCTTCAAGCTGCTATTTCAACATTTCTAATTTCTTAATGAAACAACCAAGAACATATTACCCACAATAAAATATCAGAAACCAACTATAATTTTTCATTTTTTTTGTCTAGAATTAAAGCAACTAGTGATGATTCCTTGTTTACTAGAACCTTAAACGGTCAATATATTATGACTTTGATTGATGAAAAATTCAGGAGTCCTTAAATAATGTGTCAGACCAAATGATTTGGTTCTATAACCAAAAAGAAAGCAAAACAAAACTATCTTCTCCCAAATTGCAGAACAAAAATACCAACTTTCTGAATTCAGTGTTTCCCTTAAGACTCTTGGCTACTAATATTCCCCAGCCCCCAAAGGAAGAAAAAAAATTACTAATCATCAGGCATCACATCTGGTATCAAGTTTCCCTATTGAGCCTACTCATGCTTCTCACTAGACTTGATATGGAAACTTAGTCATTTAGTTTCATCCTAACATACTTATGTATTTAATGCATTGTTTTATTTTAAAATTGAAGTATATATATATATTTTGTTAGTAAAAATTTTTTTGGTTCTTCCTAGAATAACTAAATCTGCAAAGACACTACCCAGTACTCTGCCACATGAACAAGTTTGAGATCCAGTATTTTAGGAAATTTCTTTATGTATAAAAGCACTTGTAAGTCCATAATTTTGTTTACTTAGTGTTGACAAAAATTATTTACGGAAATAACCTTTAGAAACCACTGAGTATAGAATACAGCCTAATCACTTGTAAATATTGAATTAGTAGACCTTAAGATGTGCCAAATGCTGAAGTACCCCTTGGGTGATGAATTTAGGCAGAGTGACAAACTTTTCAGTGAAAGACTTTGTTTAGCTATTGTGTTTTTTAACAGGAGAAAGAATAAGGCTTTTAAAAGGTCAACAGCTGCCAGGCAGCCACATACTCTTGTTTCTGTCACAACAGAATCATAAAAGATGTAGTTTTCATATATTTATGAGGGTATTTTATTTACATTTTTCATTATACAGTCATATCTAAGTATTTATTGAAAAAGGATGTCCCAGATTTCTATAAGAGAAAGTATATATAAAAATAACTGTAGTCGCTTATGTAATAAATAGCATTTTTCACCAGCTTGACCTTTGAGTTTTAATAAAATAGCAGAAAAAAATTTGTGATGAATCACTAAGGTTTTTGCAACTTGGACAAAAGCCAGGAAAGGTTAAATTAAAGCTGATGGCGGCCCTAACTCAGAATATTATTTCTTCTTCTGTTTAAAGACTGAGCCACAGGCTTTTGGATAAGCAGGCTTTTGAGTGGTGGTTTTGTTTTTAAAAAGGTTAGAGGTTTGCATTTTATACTTATTTAGATACGTTAAATACTCTCCATGCACAAGTGATGAGAAAGTCTGGAATCACAAGCTGCATCTTTTGGTGTAGTCGGTCATCTCCACTTAAATTTTTAAAATATATTAATGCATAACCAATGAGAACTGTTCATACTCAATTCCTGCTTCACCTAGGGAGCTCAATCTACCTCCCACAGAAAAGCATGAAGTCTTGGGTAAATTCCTACAGATGTACACATAAAGAAAATTTGATAAGCCCCAACTACCCTATTAACTCATGAAATCAGGAAAATCTCATATCTAACACATTACGGCTAAATTATTGTTCTTGTAGATTTTATCACTGTCACCTTAATTCACAATTTTAAAACAACACAACTGTAATTCACTTTCACAAAATTTTAATTACCACGGGGATTATTTATACATAGGAGACTGAGCTATAATCCCCCCAAAATATACTTCCCACCTAAGCTGGGGTATGAAGAATCTTAACTTTTAGGAGGATATCCTCAAGATATCTTTTCAAAAACCAGAATTCTAATTTTCCACCTTAGTCGACAACAGGCAGATTTAAAATCTATGTACCTAATAAAAATCAGCCTCAGCTGGTGGACCTAAACAGTCTGTAGCTGCAAATCCTAAAACGTGATTTTCAAAAAGCTCATCGAGGGCAAGTCCACTAAAATTGTTAATAATCACTGCCTCAGGGGTGACTATGGTACCCTAAACTATGGCGTTCTAGTCCTTAGTTAGCTATTTAAACCTTGTTTACGGAGCCTGCAGGAACACATTCACGTGAGGACTTCCTTCCCCACTATCTTGTTAGATAAAGCGACACCAGTTAAAGGGGAGTTGTTTTCCAGGGCTGGTTTTCGGCTGCCGTCCGCTGCGGCCCCAGAACTGCCTACAGGCAGGCTGGAGCAGGAGCCGCGGCGGGCGCCCGGGAGCGGCAGGGCGGCTGAGCCTCCTATTAGGGTCCTTCCGCGCGGGAGCGCGCGCCGCCAGCTCCACTCCTAGTGCCAGCACAGGCCGCGCGCGCGCTCCCACGCGCCCTCCAGCTCACCTTCAAGGGGGCGTTGAGGAACTGCCCCGGCGGGCCACCTAGCGACTACACGCCGCCAATAAACACTCGGAGCTCGCCCGGTCCGCCCGCAGGCCACCGCAGGCGCCCAATCCCTGCCGGGTTAACAGTCTTGGCACCAAGGGTCCAGAATATGGGGGCGAGGACATTAGGAACTAAATTAAGAAACCGAGTCCTGGAGTGGTAGGAAGGGGGGAGATTGGGTGGGGACTCCGCCAGCGGAACGTCCGCTCCGCCGCCCGCCCCTGTTCCCAGGGGACGGTCGCTCGAGGGCCGGGTTCGCGGCGCGGGCCCCGCGGCGGTCCGTGGTAAACAAAGGCTTGCACGGGGTGGGGGTGGGGTGGGGTAACGGTCAGGTGACAGCGCCGAGATCATTTCGCAACCGCTTTAATGGAGTTTCTTTGGCCCGGAGATCTGGGACCCACCTTGACCTCGTCAGCCCTCCCCGACGTGACCAGTGGTCGCCCCCACCAACCGGGAAGGCTTGACTTGAGACCTGCGCATTCTCAGTGCGTCCTCTGATTATAAAGAAGAGCAGTATCCCGTTTGAAGCCCGTCGGCACCATGCGGGACGCCTCTTCCAACCCCGTCCGCCAGCTGCTCCCGCCCCCGCGGAGGCGGGGTGACCCGCACCTGCTCCCCCAGACCCGGCGGCCATGCTCCTCCCAGCCCTTCCCCGGCGGGGCACGCCAGCAGCTCTGCGGTTCGGGGGCAGTAGTGCCAGGAAGCGGCGATGCTCTCCTTTTCAGGACTGTCGCTACCGAGCCAGGGCTTAAGACCCCCAGGGGAGTCCTGAAGATCCCTCGCCCCAAACAAGGGCCCTGCAGCCCCAGCTGTAATGTGTCCTCAGATCCTTCATCTGGATCCGAGGCCGGCGGCTGGCTTCTGGTTTCCCTCCTGCAGACACCCCCGTGACCTCGGCCGCCCCTCCGCCCCCGGCTCTGGCCGGTTCCTCGCCCTTCGGCCAGTCCCGGAGCTGTCATCCCCCGGTACCTCTCGGCGAAGGATGGAAGCGGCTGGCAGCAGTGACCAGCAGCGGCGGCCCCCGCGGTCCCTTAGCGGCCAGCGGCGCAGCCTTCTCGCCAGCGCCAGCGTCTCCACCAGCCACCAAGTCTCTGCCGCTGCTCACAACAAAGGAAACATGTGATCTTCCGGGCCAAAACACCGAGTGTCACCGAGCCCTGGCCCAATCCGAGTGGGCGCCCCCTGTCCCGGGGCACCTTGGGAGATGTAGTTCCCACCCTAGGCGGTAGCCGCCGGGGCTGCTTGGGTTTCCCGCTACGTGGTGGGTGTCGGTTGCAGAGCGCGACGAGACCCAATCCAAGGGTGGCTGGTTCGGAAATACTTAGTTTTAGGTAGGGACCTGTTAAGGAAATGCATCTGTGTTAGGAGTCTAATGAAAAACCTGAGTTCCATGTTTATTGCCACGTCCCAAGGGAAAACTACCAAGATCACAGAACTTGAAAGCATGGGATGAGGCATAGAGATCTTTTTATTTGACCCCTTGTATGCAATCGGGAAATCTAGGGCCTGAGAGGTGAAAGGAACTAGAACCGTGGTCGCTAGACGGCGCAGGGAAACTGCCTTTCTCTGTAAATTTGTTTATGTCACCCATTTCAAATCCTAGGTTACGTTTTATTTTAAATGTATATGCAAACCAGAGGTGTCCCAAATCCCTATACGCAGATAGTTTCCCCAAAGGGCATTATTTTGTCTATATGTTTCTTCAAATATTTTTTTAAGGATGAGTATACCTCCTGATTTTGAAACATTTAACTACTTTTTGGCTTCTGATATCAGAATTATAACTTCTCTCTTTTATACTTTATGAATACAGTCATGCCTTTGCTAAATAATGGAATAGGTTCCAATGAGCAGAGATGGAAATAATATAAAAGGCATAAGTTCAGGCTTTTTATACATGCTTTTCAGGCCTCTTTTCTATCTCTTACTAAAAAAAGAATGCCTACCATTTATTGAGTTCCTATTATGCTCCAGACTTTGGTAGGCAGTTTATACATATCTTTTAATCTTCATAATAACCCAACAAAATAGGTGTTATTATCCCATTTTACAGGTTAATAAACTAAGCCACAGAGGGTAAAGAGTTGGCCCTTGGTCACTCAGTTATTGAATAGTGAAGGTGGGGTTCATACACAGATACTTAAAAAAATGATTTATATTAATACAGACATACAATTATATTTCTAAAAAGCTTATTTACAGTTAAATTTACCACAAGTCTAGTAGTGGAATAGCAGTTCGATCTCCCACCCTTCTCACTTGATTCTCCACAAGCAACAACCTTCAGTTACTTCCAAGTATCCAGGTATTCTGTATTTTCATAAAACATATGGCTATTTCCTGTTGAGGAAGCTGTCATCCCTGTCCCCATCCAATATTATAATTTCTGATTAAATCATTAATATTTGTTATTAAGACTGTTTTGTTCAATGTTGAGTCAAAGAGTAGACCATTTCCTTTTTTGTATGGCTTTTAAAAAAAATTCTCACCTTTTTCTTCTTCACCCTGAGAAAGCCAAATAACCACTTTTACTAAATGCTATATCCCCACAAACAAATTTCTCTAAAGACAAATTCACTAAAGTTGAGATTGAGTATAACACATTCCTCCTGATTTGATTTTCACTGGGTGTGTCCACTGATTTCCACTAGCTGCACTCTGATTTTTATGAGGGCTTCGGCACAGGTAAGTATTTATTATTCTAATGTACATACTCACTTTACATTTGCCATGGAAAAGACCCCACCTAATCTATAGGGGACAAAGAATCTTTATTTTATGGAACTCAGATGTTCTCTGGATTTTCTAAACCCTGCATTCCCAGCTTCTGTTATGACTCTATTCTCATTTCCCTCTCTGTGTGCCTTTCCATATCCATATTTCTTACTGGAATATAGTTGATACATCTTGTACGGCTTTTTGCTTTTCCTATAGTAGGCAGGCGACTGAGCACCCATGGACCCTCACTGCCTTCATCAAGTCCCAGTTTGCTGGCAGTGCATAGAAGGACCTTCTTGATGCACCCTGTGGCCTATTTCTATAGCCTCAGTGAACAGCACACATTGCACACTTTTTCTGTCTGCAGGCCGTTCCCATCTATGTCTCACTCATTTACCTCTTACGCTGCCTCTTCCCCTTCACCCCACTCATTAGGCTAGCTCCTGCCTTTCCTTCCAGGAGTCAGCTCTGGGTTCTCTCTCCTGGGAAACTCTCCTCTCCTTCCAATTGGCCTTGGTACTAGGTAGCTGTGGATAAAATGAGAGTTCCTGTGGCCAGGATTCTCACCTGGCCCTGGATGACTAGCTCACTGCACACCTGTGGGCAATACATGGCTGTTGACTCTATATAAAGAGCTCTGCCCAGTGCTCTGGGTGCAACACGGTGGCAGGGCTGCAAGGCTACAGGAGAGCAGAGCAGAGGCTGGAGAGGTGGCAGTGCTGAGGATAGAGGCCCAGAGGATGGCTGTGTGGGACAGCTGTGCAGAGAGGCCCAGAGGACAGCTGTGTGGGGCAGCTGTGCAGGCAGAGAGGCCCAGAGGCAGAGACCAGCTTGCTGCATGCAGACTCTCTCTGAGTGAACAGGATTCTAATGACTGACCTGCCACCTGGAAATAAAGTTGGGTATAACCCTTTAACCCCAGAACGTTTTGCTGTCGATTTCTTTGGTCCACATTGAATCCATAGCAAACTTGCCCTGGGGCTGAGACCCATTGGCAAGACAGTAGCTTCCCTCTGTCTTCCTACAGCAGCCTTCCATACTTCTCCAGCAGTTATTGTACTGATGTTCATGTTTACTTACCTACCTTTCCCAACTGAGAACCCTCTGCAATCCTTGAGGTCAGGGATCATGTCTTAATCATTTTGTATCATAATGAACCTAGTAGGTGTTAAATATGTGTCTATTAACTGATGGAATGATCTCTACTTTTTGAGGTCAAGGGGACCTGAGAGGAAGAAAGTGTTTCCCGACCCCCTGGGATCCACTAAGACTCATCTGCATCCTCACACTATTGGGCAGACAGGTGCCGGGTGATTGATCACAACTCTGAGAGTGGAAGGGAGTGAGGGGATCCACAGGACAGATAGCCCTGGAGACCAGCAGAGGCCTCCAGGTGTGTGTGTGTGAGCTCCTCAGGCAGCCAGAATGCAGGTGGTTTTAGCATTGCTGGAGGGCCCTGGGAGTAATACCTACCTGGTAATCAGTGCACACAGCTGGGTGGCAGCCTTTTCCTCAGCTGGGACTGGAATAGTGGCAGAGCTCTCAAGTCCAGGAGTGAGATTAAGCTGTAAAGTGATTTATTTTATGCCGTGTTTACAATTCAGGTCAGCATGGCCATTTGAAGGCAGCAGCTTTGAGCTGGAGGCCAGAGGATCTTCAGATCTGTTTCTTCTCCTTTCAGGGATATGGCATATTTTACTATATTCTGTCTTTTTGCAAGTACCATATGGCAGTCCTTGTTTTGCTCTCCAGAGCAGCCATGACAGCCTTTAGGGTCTGAAGGTGGCCAAGCACCCATAATTGCTTCAGCCATTCATTTTTTCTGTCCAGCTGCTTCCCTACCCCATGCAGTGACCAGAATGTAGTACATCATCACTCCCTAAGCATACCAAACACTTTGGGACCTCTGCCTCCTCTCTAGGCCTGTCACACTTAAAGTCCTCCATCCCCAATTGTAGTCGGAATGTTGGTTGTCCTTTAAGGCCCATCTCTGGTGCCACCTCTTCTGAGGGGCCTTCTCTGATTCTCTTCCCTTTCTCCCAAATATTGTGAAACCATGAACACTGACTGTCTTGGAATGTGACACTCACACTGTGTTTTTGCCCAGCTCCTGAACACGGCTGGGGTCTTTGAGTTCCTCCCTGGCAGCAAATCCCCGTTGCAAATCACTGATGAATAGAGATTTTACTTAAGGTTTCACAAAGAGAATTACATGGCATCTCACACTGCAAAACTCTGTAACCATTCCCTTTAAGCATCTTGGCTCCCTCACCTATGTTCCTTCCTTGGTACTAGCTACTCCCGTTTTCCCACCAGACTCCCTCTCTCTGGGCTGCTCTCTAGCTACGGGCTTGGGTTTCTTCCCTTTCCGTGATCTCTGCCGCCTTCCTCCTAGACAAACCTTGGTCCACTTCCCATCTCTTTTTCTGTAACTTGCATTTCCACACTAATCACCTTTCAAACAAGAAAGTTCTATTCTTCAGAAGACAGAGAATATCATAAATAACAAACTGTCTCTGCTCTCCCCACCCCCACCCTGTTTTCCTCCACAGATGTATTTAATATTTCTGCAAGTCTGTTACATAATACTCCATCAGAGTGTTGAGTGAAGAGAAGAGTAAACACTACACACTATTTGCTCATGGCATCTGAGTCTCTCCAGTCCGGGTCCCACCCCTTCCCTCCCTTCTTCTCTGGTGAGGTTAGATGTGTGTCGCCTCTGAAGCCCTTTGGATACAGAGGTCTGACTCTCCCTGGCAATGCAGTTACTAGGAAAGGTTTGAATTGTCCCTCTGAGGCTCCAATCTCAGACAGCCAGGGGCCCCACTAGGCCAGTTAGAGCTTGAAGTCAAAAACAGAATTAAGATTCAGCAAGGAAAGCTATAGCTGGAAAAATTTCCATTTTGAGATCTGGAAAAAGAGGTAAGTCTTCTGCCACCTGGAAGGTGAACTCCCTCTCCCCCTCAATGAGCTTTTCCCTCAAGAGTATCATCTGCCACAAAGTGTCTTTCCTCCCGACTGAAACGAGAAGTGAGCTTCCCATCTCCTGGGAGTGGGGTAAGATGGCAATCCTCGCTTTGTTTGAGATGCCAGTAGTTGGGGCTTCTGTGGCCTCTGATCCTCTGTGTGACCAGACTGGCCACACTAGATGCAGATAAGGGGGGCTGGTTATCGCTGTGAGCCCTGGGCTCTGACCTCAGGGGCCAGGCATGCTTGCATCCACCCTGCTCTGTTCATTCTTCTGCCCCAAGGACATCCAATTTCACCCGGCTCTCTTCCAGAATTACTTCCTCAGTAGTGAGAATTCAGGTGGCCCCTCTGGTCTCAGAAGAAACCTGATGGTTTGGAAAAGGCTTGTCATAGATTACTTCTGCTCTGTCTGCTCTGGGTACACGTGATTCTCCAA